TTGTTTGTTGTTGATCTCTCAGTTAGTTGTATTCTCGTTCAGACGTTTACATTGAGATGTATATATCGTTCGGAGAATGTTTAGTCAGTTCTCTTATTTTTATTTGAATGGATAATGGCAGAAGAACCTAAAGTGTTTGATATTTTAGATGCCGTGAATGCGCGTAGCGCATATTTCAAGATGCTATCACCGTTGTTGCGATTAGCTGATAAAATATCGATACCTATCACTAGCGAGTATCTGAAGGTTTGGCGATGGATTTGCTTTCGTTCGACATTTCAAATCAATGCTGTTCGATTATGAAGATAAAGCAGTTGAAAAATCTTACGTGTTTTGATAGAATTATTGAAATAATTTCAAAAATTGTCAGTGATACAAAACTGAAGAATTTTTAGTGCGAAATTGCTGAACACTTCATTTTAAAAATATTATGGGAACTTGTTTTCTTTATGTTTCAATTTTAGTTATTGCCAATATTCTGTGAAGCAATAGATGCAAAGGGTTTGAGTGTGGATACAGAAGAAACCGTTCTAAACGGTCTCGTAGAATTACTGAAGAGCGCATCTCGAGAGCAGCTTCGAGCAGATTTCATAGCAAAAGTAATGCCAAAAATACGACATTTCATCACAGAGGGTCGATCTGTGGTATGTGTTTCGTTTTGCAGTTTTTTCGAACGAAATTTGTTAGATTTATTTTCTTAGTCTATTTCATTGCGATTTTTCCTATTGGGAGACCACCTTGTCGAATGGAAAATTCCATCGCTATTGATGTGGTGTAGGATTTTTTATGTTGACACGAACATTACCATTTTTGTCGTTGAAGCATTTACTGACTTGAGGAAACCAGTCTATCGTACAAGTTTGAGGCATAAACGAAAGGCTATCGCGAAAGCTTTGCAGAAAATACTTCAGATATGACATGAATATGTCATTTTAAGCGTCTAATCGAACTGGCACTGAAATGTTTGGAGATGATGGCACGGCAGTGTGATGCATCCTTATTGCTACCACATTTTAAAGAAATCATTCCAAGTGTAATTTCGGCAAGCGGTTCGAAAAAACGTCGTATTCGAGCTGATGCAGCGAACGTTAGGAATTTGTGGTTAGTGATTGAAATGTGATGCTGTTTCACTTTTTATATACTACATTGGAAGTAATANATTAGGCAATATGGTGCATCACTTCAGGGAGTTATTGCCCACCAGGTGAATGATACTGGATGAATCTACGTCTCCCGATTGGGAACTGCAGTTGGTTCAAGTGCTGCTTGTCGATTCTTCTTCTTCGTTCTATACGGTCTGAAAGCACATGGATTCTATTGTCTACAAGTGTAGTACCCATATAGTGGCTTAGTCAAGCATTATACGAAACTAATTACGGAATTCATGGACTTCGCTCACAATCGCTGGATATTCTTGGGTCTTCAGTATTTCGAATTTTCCATTTCTCATCACAATTTTGATGGTTTTTAATTGTTCCAGTGTGATATTCTACATTGAGTGAATTATTGAATGATAGTGCCCCGTCTGTTCACTTTTACTGTTTAATTAAATGCTCAGTTCAAGTCTGGAATTTGAAGGTTCTAGTGTTCGTTTGTTAATTTGAGGGTGCACTGTTAATAATGTTACCTTACGAACAGAACTGCAGCAGAATCCTCTTCTAGCCATCTACAAAATGTTCTTTTGAACGCGTCTTATGCGATTATTTGATCGGATGGATTAGCGTCAACGAAATTCTCTTGTTGATTACGATGCTTATTGAATTTCCATTGTTTCCTTGTTGTTGTTGTTGTTGTTATTGCTGCTGTTTTCTTTGTCATGATTGAGAAGATTCATTCCTCGCTTTGTCCAGTCTTATCGAAATGCTTATGAAAATGAAGTTGTAGAGAAAACTTTTTTAGTGTTGATCTCGTTAATTTGTATGATAACTGACACTTGCGATTTTTGTTCATCTGAAACGATATTCGGAATCATTTGGTTTGCATACTGGATTGTTCAATAAAGGCATGATGTTATTTGTTGATGTGTTCACAGATCAGAAATGTGTCAGTGTTATATGAAAACCTTCATTTTGTGAATTAGAACCATCATGAGCTGAGCTCTTCTGATGATGCGAAATCCTGTAGATTTTGCATCAATCGCTAGCTTTTACATCTCTGGAAGTCGTATAATTCAAACGATTCCGATATTCATGGACGGTAAAAAGATATTGCGGAAAATCGACAGAAGAAAGTATTGATCAACGATTGATCATGATCCNGAATCGCTCAGCTATGTGATATCCCTTCAGAAATGAAGTTATATCTCATGAAGTAAAGATTTTCCTCAGCAACGCAAACAGTTTCCTGATAGAAAAGGATTTTTTTGAGTACGATTGTGTCAAGAAATCATTATGGTGCCTGGCAAAGCAAAGGATCCAAGCAGATTGGAAATAATGATTCTCGCACTCCTCCGTAATTTGCTATTGATCATCAGACATTCATTATACATTCACTAATGAAATTAACTATTTCTTAGGGATTTGTCACCATCTAACACTAAGATGTGTACTTCCCTGTCGTACTGCTTTCAGAAATATTAATTTCCTTCAATAAAAATATTAGATTCTCGAGTTGCTATCCTGGACAACTCAATCAATTGCTTAAGGGCGACAGAGCAACATTGACCTCGTTATTGTCATCAAAGTTGATATGATCCCGTTCCGCAAGATCATTGATGCTCAGTGGAATCACTTATTAAGGTTTAGCCTTGATATGGTCTGAAACAAAAATTCATGATCTTCTCCTATCGATGTTGTTATTGGGGAAAATTAGAAATATATACATGGCGGCTTGCGGCTGAGTGGTCTAGTGGTATGATTCTCGCTTCGGGTGCGAGAGGTCCCGGGATCGATCCCCGGCTCAGCCCCAAGATTTTATTGACCAAACCAATGTGATATGGAATCGGTTGGTTCGGAGTCGACGTACGGATGCCTCACCATCTAAACCTTTGCCGATTGGGGATGGAAAGAAACTGGAATGTTGAAATGTTTTATGAACACATTGGTAAATAGATTTCGGAAGCGATCCACGGGCAGTTCATTCGTTGCAATCGTTCGATGAAATTGCTTTTCGAAAGCATCTAAAAATTAATTGTCTTGGATTCGAGGAAGAGACTTCGAATCTTATTGGCTGAAAAATTGTCTTATATCAATGCACTTTTGCATTGACATTTTCCCTTACGCTATCTGAAAACTATTGCAATGTTTGATGTTCATTTATTTCAAAAATTAAAAACTTCTTCGGTATCATTTCTAGAGTCGTTTACTGACGTGTGAACAATGCTTTCAGCTGCGTCTGATCGATCGATCGTGGAAACTACCGCACGAAGTGAGTCATATCAAAGTGCCATTGGCCGGATCTTCTTCGCAGTGGTAGAGAACTGAAGTGAAGATATTTCTTTGCGCAATGATCGAAGAACGGTTGTTTAAGCGAATAATCGGTGCAGAGGTATGAAAGTACCCTGAAAACATTGCAAACGAAGGTATTTTCGATCCGGTTTTTGGAATTGTGTCAACGCCATCATTTTATGCGGATGATACAGGCGATAGTGGTGAGGAGGATGACGATGACATTCGTCTTATTATATGCCGGTTCTATCAGCAAGTCTCATTTCTTTGCGCAATGTAACGAATATGAATGACGTTCATGTGCAACCAGATAATAGGCACATGGATACATGTTTATACGTTTGAGAACATCGCTCAGCACACGCACTACATGCTGTGATATTGTGAATCTTATCTTCATATTTTTCTTTCTAATTTAATTATATTTTCTTTCTAATTACGTCTCCATGCGTGTATATCTAAAGAAACGTATTTGAGCGTGAGCCAATGTTACTGATGAATATGCGTTCTTAAAATTTCCAAGAATTATCCAGCAGACTACTTGAATTGTTGTATTTCAAAAAAAAAGTTTTTACTGTTACGTAGCGGCGAGCTGTTCACTGCACTCAACTGCGTTTCTTGCAGGAGCAGTAGATGGCGAAATTATTTTGCGATGAAGAATNCATGGTGAAAAGAAACAGCATAGCACACACACTGAGGAAAAAAGACTCACATATTGACGAATATCCATGAAATCATCTTTTTCAAAACTCATTAATCAGACAATCCTCTACAGAGGAGTTGTTGAACAAAAGTAATGTGTAGACATGCCGTCATTGCGAAGCGTTCATTTTTCATGCATGTTTCGATGCCTCTCCTCAATGAGGAACACGTTCGTTTATGTGTCTTTTTAAGGCTTATCTGGTGATTACGCGGTCTTGCTTTTTGATCGTTTTAATGTGATCAGTTGCAATTCACTGAGTGACATCATATCAGATAAAATGTATTGTTGAAATGAAAAAACATCTTTTAGTACGAAAAAATCTTATTGATGAAGTTTGTCCGTTGAAGAGAGTGAAAATTGAGTTGATTCACTTCATTACACACTCGATAATGACTTATGGTGAGACCTTATTATCAGTGCTATCGCGAAGGTCATCAGTGAAGCTTTCGTGGCGTTGACGTTGAAAATGTGGTGCTTTTAAGGGTGGAAAGTAAGAATATTGCATCAGTGATGATNGCAATGAATGTTTTGAACGATTATCACTCAGTATCGATGCTTTTTGGGGATTGACAGTCGAACAACGTTTTTGTAGAATTTTTAAAATAGAAGTTGATTCAACTGCAACGAACTTCAGCAGATGCTGTTCACCGCTTTGAAGAATGTGATGTGATGAGCGATTAAGAGAACTGAAAGCGCGCTGAAAACTAGAAGCGTGCAAATGCCGTCAGCGTTAAAATGATCTATATGACCGCTCATTAACCATTGTGATAGTTTCGTTTATGTGCTTTTCCAGGTAACAATATCAGTCTGAATCACTAATATTCAGCCGAGTGCTTTATCAGTTCCTTCACAGCAGATAAACTGATTTCATGTCATTCAGTTTGATGATCTCATATCATCGGCATATTCAGCTAGCGAGAAATGTTCAAACACTGTTCACAGAATCCATAATAATCCGAATGTACATAAATTTTGTGCTGAATGGCTGTCAGTAAAGCTGAAACGGCATTGTTATGATTCAGGCTAATAGCGTTCCATACCAAATCGAAATGGTTCAGCACTGTGCTATTTTCAAATCCCAAAACGCATATTTGTTTGATGTTGCGCGAAGATATGAGGATCGCCTTATTTTGAAGATGATCGATTGGTTATAATCTCATATGATGCAACGAAATGAACACGGTTAGATGCTTCTTGCGAGATCACATAGTGGGCGCGATGAGCACGAGTTCTTACTGTTTAGGCCAAACATCCTGCTCCTTATGTCTTTCTGCATTATCATCACTGCATTCTATTAGAAGCATGCATTTATCATTCATCGATGGCAACACTCAAAATTTTCATTAAGCAGTAGTCAACGATTTGTAAACTGTAAAATTCTGGACTGCGATGGTCATTCGAAAGTCAGCGATTGAGTAATGTATAGTTTGTTAAAGCACCTCTCAATCATTCCGGCTAAACACATAGCATTTGGTCAGTCAAGGAAGCCACCTCAAAGAATTGCGGAGTCTCCGCTCTGAAATCACAATCTTCGAAAGTGCACTTCGGGAACAATATATTTTTCGAAGTCAATAACCATGCAACTCTTATTGTGGAGTGCATCTAACAAGAAACAATTAATACAAGTGCAAAAATTTCAAAATAATACCCAGAATCCAAAAGTTATTACTCAATTTTCAAATGCAAAATTATTAGCAGAATGCTTTTGCTCTGATTAAGGTAATTCAATATTTCACTTTCTGTGACATATTTTCCTGAAATATTATCGAAAGAATTTCGCTTTCTAGAGACCAGTCGATATGAGACCAAACAGTGCATAGAAAACGAAGTTATGTGCATCAGTTCGGCGTATGAACATAACAGCATAATGCAAGAAGTATTCAGTTGTGCATATTTTCAGAAAAGAAACAATGGATGTGATCGAATAATATCCTCTAGTCATTCTATAATGCTCACTCATCTACTTTTAAACTCCTGTTACTTGATCAGTATTTTAAGAGTCAAACCACAACGATGTGCACTATTCGATTAAAGTTTAGCTATGTTTTGTCTAATACAATTATTCGTTGATGTTATTGAGTTTCATGACCATAAAGTTGATCATCATCGTTTTTATATGGTCATTAAATTTGTTTCAGTTTCAGTTATTTGAAACAGTCAATTGAACATTGGTATTGGTTTCTATCTAGAATCCGTTGATGATTCTGGCTGAAAGTGTTTCTTGGAGTCTGCCTTGTTCATACAGTATTAGCTGATTCAGATAGACTCGTAGTCATTGCCACTGAACACTTATGACTGATTCACTTGATTTAGGCTAAATTTTTACATCGCATTCTGTCATTTTATCGCAGAATATTCACTGGATCGAATATATTCATTTCGAAACATATCAGTCGTTTGTATTTCAGCTTTCCTGAGCGGAATTTTTGCGGAACTGTCAACTGCAGTATCAGCTTGCAATTCACTGGTATTTCACTAGCGATTTTCTGTCACATCTTTTTCAACTAGGTGTCCGAATTTTGATTTTTGCGTCCAAGAGTCCCATCAACACGAATGAATCCGTGGTGAGCATTGAACTGAAGCAATAAATTCTGAAAATGAAGAAAAATTGGGTGCGAAATATGACTGACATGTTCGTGGGTTTGATTGCCTTCTGATTGATTTCGAGATAAAGCTTACAATGTGATGTCGTGTGATTGAGAAGCTCGGTGAAAGACGTGAATCAAATTGATTCTATTACACATCCATTTAACTGATCATATTTCCATTCGTTCGTGGCTTCATAATGTTTGAAGTGTACACATATCTAAGAATGGATCTTCATGAATATTTGCGAAAATTGCATGAGCAACGAAAAACGTGAATTCATGGGATTATTTAGACTGTTTTTCGTCATTCGTTCACACTTTCATCCAGTTTAGTTGCTATAATCATTGGTTAGGGCTGTTCTGAATCATTCAAACTTAGCGTTTTCTTTGAGTCAGCCTCCAGCCCTTTCATTTGTCAGTCGAAAAGCTTTCATGATATTCAAAAGTTAAGTTACGAGCAGGTCTTTTCCGACGAAGAATATCACAATGAGACAATCATTTTGGAATGCTGACTTTTGACGAATTATTATATCTATATCAATTTGCGATTTTATTTCCATTGGGCATGATTATTCTGCGACTTGACATTGCGAGCCTCGAGTTAGGTGAACGAACAGCAGTTGGAAATGCAAAAATAAAGTTNTGCAGTGATGTTCTTGAAGCCAAGCAGCTGGTCAGCACATGATGGATACCATTTATGATGCGTTTCTTTTTTATCCATTACATACGATATTTGCTGTTCGTTTCCAAAATTGTATAAATTGCTTATGTGCACAACGCATTAGCGTTATGTAATTTTTGAGAGAATCTAATTTCCTTTCAGATGTCCAATATTTCATTTGATTATTTGATTCATCGAGCGTTCTTTCAATGGGGATTACTTGCACATCGCTGTCGTCTTATTCTCTTGCTCGCACCAATAGCGTTGACCGCATTGCTCAGCGTTGGATTCATCTTTATTCAACAACAGGTTTCTTTCTTGTTTTTTACTTCCGAAAATGAACGTTGTTTCATTTCCATTTTACGTCTCCTGATTCTATGCAAATCCTCATTCAAATAGATCTTTCCGAAGTGCAAACATGTTTCAAGATGACTCATCATTAACGAGTTGTCCGAAATCGTTTGTTCAACATCATTATTTTATTCATTCGTATGGATGACGAATAATGATTGTAACATCCGAGGATATGCAGTGATCTTAGCACATAATTTGGGTTGATTTTGAAAGGAGAACGACAAAAAGTTGATTGATTTAATGCGTTTTGACATCTGTAACACTGGGGCAACCCCAAAAATATAATAGCTTTCATAACAATGATGTATTTATCTTCCGGAATTAAGGTGGTTTAAACCACTTGCACCTTCACTATCTTGTTTAGACTATGAATTGGCCTCATTGTAAGCCTGAAACCTGAGCGTACCACTGAGGGAGCGTCGAAATTACCTCACTATCAGGTCACATCTATTGAAATCATTCGAATGATTATAAGTGGTCGCGATTGCTTACAGTTAATCATTTATGAGTGCTCACATCTTCTGTTTGCAGACAACAATCGATCCCCTGTATGTGTTTTCACCACAAAGTGCTCCATGGCGACATGAGCGGGAAGTGCTCAGTCAGCACTGGCCTCTGAACGAACAGGAGTTTTGGCCAGGCAAAAGTTATGATTATCAGGGGTATGTTGATATTATCGCTGCGGGTAAGAAAGATCGTGATAGAGGTCGACCAAATATGTTGATTGCTAGTCATCTGAATGAGTTGGAACGCATCAATCAGGTACAGTGCGAATTTCTGCCGATCATTTGGTTCCTGTTAGAGCAGTTAGCACATTCTAAGCTTTTAAACATGCCCAACAAAATGAGATTTTTGGAGCTGAAGGAAAAAGGCTCAGGCGATGACAATCAGTAACTATTCACAATCAGTGAGAAACGCTTACGAGCCGGATGTAGAAGAAATTTTGAATATGTTGGCAATTGAAGTCAAACAGTTGATCGTGTGATCAATTTTCTTGATCGGTTTGCATACGATCACTTTCAGTATATTATTCACAACTTGACTGTGCCAATAATGCACAAGGGTCGAAAATATGATGTTGGATTCACTGATTTATGTATGTCATACGATTGGAAATGCTATCTCAATGACCACATTACAATGCTGATGCCAAAACATAAATGGGGCGATTTCCGAGGCCAACTAGCTGAACTGGCTAATGATATTATCACAACTGAGGTAACGTGTGAATGTTCATCTTTGGTATACGAACTTAAATTTGATTTATAATAATTACTAAGCTTTCGTTTCCAAGGAGTTTGGCTATGAGGATCTTAGACGTCCAATGTGCAACGTTGTTTTCATGACAGTCACAATATTCATCATAAGACACACCTTTGAATGATTATTTATTTGGTTTCAACGTGTATTCAGCGCTTATGAACGATCAAAAGTGCTAAATGTTTCCGAATTCAGGACAAGAATGACTCAAATATTCATTCTGTCTGTTGCAGTATCACCAGTTCCAATTGTTTTCGAGAAGAAAACTGAATGTGTTTGCTGCTATCATTCGTAAATTTAGCAAAGTTTTTGCAGGTTAAAGTAACTTATCCAATCGGATGGCGAGGGACTGAGCCGATCTACTTCGCAGCTCTCATAGGTTCTCCTCACTTAATTGATGAAGTAAGTGATCGTGCGTTTGACCGGAAAACCCTTATGAAAAAAGGAATGCGGGACTCCGTCACAGTTCCAACAAACTTGATTATTTTACAAAGTCGCTTTCACTTAATTTGAAGAATCAACTCAATGAGAGAAATTGTTCAGCTGTTCGAAAACCCACTTTTAATGCATGAACAGTTATCTGAAAATGTCAGCGCAATTGTTCCATCCTACATCGCAGAAATTTCTCGTTTCGAAAGTGCATATGCTGCTCGTCCCCTTAGCGGTAAATTGACGCTTCGTGAAAAGCATCTCAAGAGTAGAGATCAGTTGATCGGATAGTTCGACTCATAAATGAACTCCATGTCCATTGTGGCCCTTTTGATGTAATTTCGTCGTATATTCCTGAAAAAAAANNNAAAAAAAAGGTAGAGAGGAAATACCATTCGTCTAGTAATTTTCAAGTTGAGATTCTCCCTTCATGACCAAATGAGGCTTCAAAAATTTTGTTTTTGCTAGAAAAATTCTCATATATTGGAGAGTTATTATCTGTAAAACAGGATTATTCAATCTCAGCAAAGAAAAAAGATCATTATTATTCATGAAAAGGAAAATTATTATTTTTAGTATTATTTCATGTGAACAATTGCAATTGAGCTTAAGGAAGGTCATTTCGATTATGTGAGTGCCGTACGTTTGACATATAATGTGCGTGAGGATAAAGTTGGTAATGTGAGTTATTTATGGCGCAAGAAAGTGGCCGATTACCTCTCGGATACTGTTAATCCGGCTTCAGGTATGTGTCCTGCCTGTGAGCACTTTTGAGATTAGATTTTGAACACGAGGAAACCGGCAATTATTATGTGAAATACTAAAGTATCTAGCAGAATGTATGTAAATTTAACAAATGAGTAAGATATATGAATCTCTGACATTTTGTAATTCAAAGCAGCAATCTCAGGCTTTGAGTAAGAAATTTTAGGAATACTCGAATTTGGAATGTATCACAATGAGAGTTTACCCGAGGGATTGCAAGAAGTTGCCGATACTTTAACACCAAAATTTGCGATAACATGCACCATCCTATTCACCTTATGCGGTCTCAGCTGCGTGGTACTATTGAATCATAACGGCTTCTTTGCACCAGATTGGGTACGGAGCAAACCGTCGATCGCACTGGCAGGTAAAGAAATTCATCTCAAGAAGACAACAATTATAAATTCACGGACTTCGTTTTTTCGTTCGGATCGTGAGATGATGAGAGAAAACCTTGAGCAAACGCGAAAGCTGATCTCAGTTCAAAATAGCTTTTATGATTTACTTTTCGATTTTTTTTTGTACTTCTGTTTGTTAATCTACTGTTGTCAGGATTGTTCTGTCCGCTGTTGGCCATCTTAAGCGCATTTGGTGCGATTCTCTGGTGTGGATGCCTTTACAATGCCATTGTTAACGTTTCGCCTTTCATAGTTTTCTGTATGTTTATTACTGAATTTAGTTTCATTGCAGTTTCAGCCGCAAATTCTTGAAGTTTCTCTCATTGAATTTTAATTGCGACATCATTCATTCCATATGAAACGCGCTGTGCGTAGACTTAACGATGACTGTCTCCGCTGTTGTGATACCCAAAATCTGCCTGCGTGGCCAGCAATTTATGAATCATCCATAATTATCCATAGAATAAATGTAAATAATTTCAGGTATCGGCGTAGATGATATGTTCATAATGAGTGCTGCATGGCATCGAACAAACCCAGAACTCACAGTTGCTAGACGACTCGCTGAAACACTTTCGGAGGCTGCGGTTGCTATTTCAATAACGTCAATCACCGATATGGTATCACTTTTAGTTTCATTGTCCTTCAATCAAGTCTGAAAATTCGATCTCTAAAATAGGCTTTCTGGTTGGAAGGGTTCAATATTCGTCAACCGTCGCATATTTCAGCTTTCATTTGGAATCGGTTGCATCTCAGCACTTCCATGTGTTCAAATGTTCTGTCTGTATACATTCGCTGGAATCGCATTCACATATTTATATCAGCTAACATTCTTCACCGCCGTTATGGCTTACGCTGGAGAATGGGAATCTCAAGGATTACATGTAGTCACGCTAAGGCCTGCTATTGATCCACAAGATGCTGGTCAGTAGTGAAATTTCATGAATACTTCATTCAGCATTGGCATCAACGATTTCCAATTCATTACGAAAATTTGTTTCATCTTAAGAAAGCCTTTCTATGTTTTGGCGATCCAATTGTTCACCTAAAGATGTAATGATCTAGTTCAATGGTTCTCACCTTCGAGTGCTCCATTACCCTTTTGGATAATGTGGCAGGCCGCCGTTACCCCCTTCCCCTGATACAAGAACTCTATGATGGCATTCTACATGGCTAGGCCTTCGCTTAATCCGTTTAGTCGATTATGATTGCATGAAAAGCTATTGTCTATGACACGCTCACTTCAAACTGATTTAGATGGTTTCGCATTCTTTTCAGACGTGTTGTATTCGCTCTCATAGCTATCACATGCGAATACCGTTCTATTGTTGAGTTTTTATCATTCGCCTCATCTCATTCAACTTCATCGTTCAAATAAACTTCTCATTCACTAGTATATACTATTTACTCTGTCTGTTGACGAGTGCTGACAATCGAAGTCAACAATACAACAATTGAATTGAATTGCTGAACAACATTCGACAGTTACATGGTCAATTATAAAGTGTGTATGATAGAATGAGAATTTGATTTTAACTGTTGACTGAAATGAATGAGAAATTAGCAGAAGAGAACAGTTTTGGTGATAGAAGCTATGAGAGCGATTGTAACAGCGCGAAAAGAATGAAAACCCTGTTAAAACGAATGGAAACCCTGTTAGGCGCTTACGAGCTAATCATACTCAGAAAATATGACAATGAAGAGCGTTGCCGTCAACTAATCCCATTTACATATCCCGGTCAGAAAACACTATCACCACGGCATTCTATCGTAAAATAACAACTGCACGAAATACTAATTTCCCGACCTCCTTCATTACCCCTTAAACACCTCCAAATTACCCAAAATGGATAATTTCACTCCCTATGAGAAACACTGATCTAGTTGAAGATCATCTATCAAACTCATCTAACATCTGTATTGAATGCTATCAGAGTGAAGTGTTATCAGACTTATCTAATGTTATCAGAATTATCGATACGATTGACATAATTTTGCTCGAGAAATTGCATTCCGTTACAGATACGCTATTCAAGCGACTTTTCATGGTTGGTTCGTTACCACGGAACGACAGTCTTCAACGAGCTGATAAAGTTGCACCACAACGAAAAACGCCAATGCCCATCATACAAATCACATCACCAAAAGGGTTGACCAGAGCACCACCGCTTCCGTCGAAGAGTCATTCTGATTCAATTATGGAACGAATTAATGAAGCGTTCATCCGTCTCGAGAATAAAATGGATCATTCTGATAAGGTGAGCATTTGTGAGCTGTATTTATGCGTTGCATTTTTTCTCAAAAAGGAGGTAAATATAACTTGATTAGGATTTCGAATTTACATTTCTTCATTCTTCTGTCGTCTTCACAAATTCGACGCACATGTTGAACCATGTGGCTAAAAATGTGCTCAATTAAAGAAGGTGAATTACGTACAATTAAGGAACTAAACTCTCATCACAACCGTGAAACATTCATTTCCAAAGTGTTCCGTGAAATATATGGACCGTTTCTTCTAACCGGTTCAACGAAAAAAGCCGTTCTCTTCATTTATTTGATCTATATATCGCTCGCAGTACTTGGTTGTTCAATGGTCGAAGAGGGTCTCAATCCAAAGTTTCTTGTGCGGGAATCTTTTTATCTGAACAAGTTCTATGTCCTTATGGATGAAACGTTCTGGAATGAAGGTATGGGAACCTGAAAAACTTTCTACCTTTTGATTTCAACTCACTCTTGTTGATCCCAGAATTTTACTATGTAAATGAACAGAACTGCTGAGAGCATTAACAGTTTATATACTTCGTTTACATGTATATATGCATCCATCAGTCTAAAATTTGATTCGAATCATTATTTTAGGTCTTCAGATGCAAGTGGCTGTAAGTTCACCGCCAGACTTCTTCAATGAAACTGATCGAATGAAGTTTCAACAGATGATGGATGAATTTGAAAATACCGAATATACGATGAGCCATAATGCGACTATGTTCTGGTTGGATGCCTACGAAAAGAAACTCAACGATGAACTTAACGATTTGAAAATTCCGCTTCCAAAAACGTAGGACCTTTCAACCGGGTTATGGATGAAAAACTCTGAGTGCTAAATGCAGAAGCATTATTTGAGGTCGAATATAGATTTTGTTATGTTATGGCGGACTAGCATGTCTGTTCGCTCTTAAAGGTACTCTATTGAAGGCGAGAAGAATGGTATGAAAGATGCCGCGATTGGCTGATAACAGCCGGAGGACGGCGACTGTGGGAAAAAGATATGGTTTGGGGAAAGAACTCATCCGATCCTGACGTTAGTGTCCTTCCCTTGAATTTGTCCTGTCAATGGTGGATCTTATAGTTACAAACTTTTCCTTCCAATAAATAAACTCAACTCACGTTTGGTTGCCACTTGCATTCGGTAGAATGATTGCCGTGTTCGTGAATAATATAAACAATTTCATTTATGAATCTCACTGATGAAAACGGTATCTCAGAGATTGTAGGATTACAATCATCTGTACGCATTCCGATTTCAACTTGGTCTACGCAATTATCGTACCCCAACTGATCACATGCGAGGTGCAAAGTTGATGCGTCGCATTTGTGCGAAATATCCACAATTCAACGTCACAACTTTCCATGAATATTATCCATTCGCTGATCAGGTCAATGACAGGATTTGATTCAAGAAAAAATTCGAAACAATAAAGCCATACCAACTATCGTAATTACGTGCAGAACGAATCAGCATATTATGTTTTATTCAAGAACAAAGACGCACTAAATTGGAACGAATCAACATTGAACATTCTTGGGTGTTTTACATATGAAATTCGCCAAATGCTCGTGTCTATAGGCAAATATATTGCGCATTGAAAATCAAGCATTTTGCATTTTTTCCTTCCGCGAAACAAGCAACTTCAACAGTAAAAGTACTGATGGGAAGTCATTTTAAAGCAACGAAAGGTAAAGAATATTTTTCAGTACATCGAGCTGAAACCAGCATTGATTCGTAACTGCGTTCTCGCAATGATCTCAATGCTGATCGTTTCTTTCGTCATGATTCCGAACTATTCTGCAGCGTTCGCGATTGCTGGTTCAATATTCAGTATTGATTTGGGTGAGTGGAATGAGACATGAATATTTCACTTTCCTTGTTTAGGAAAGCTGCCGTAAAGATTCATTTGGAAGATTCGCCCATGAGCGTTTTCTAAATAGTTGTCCAGTAACACCAATAGCTCTTCATTGGGATAGCCAATCCAGTAATTGTTCTTGATAGTGCTTTTCCGGAGAGTATACCAGCACAAGTTCTTTTCTTATATTCACGTTTTATTCAGGTGTTATCGGTTACATGACATTTTGGGGTGTACGACTGGAAAGTGTCTCCATGATAACTGTGATAATGAGCATTGGCTTTGCTGTCGATCTGTCTGCGCATATTGGCTATGCATATGTGAAAGCAAAAGGGAATAGTAACAAAAAAGCAGTTGAAGCACTTGAAACTATTGGATGGCCAGTATTTTTAGTGAGTTTTTCTAGGTTTTCATAAAGATTGATCTTGCGAAGTATGACTTGTTGACCTATCACCTACTTTTCAAACTTAATTGCAATGAATTTCTTATTCAGGGTGCATTCTCAACTGTGCTTGGCGTACTGGTGTTGGTCACGGTTGATGCGTACGTTGTTCAAATATTCTTCAAAACAATCTTCCTCGTAGTCGTATTCAGTATGATGCATGGACTTATATTTCTACCGATTCTGCTCACTGTCGCCTTGCCGAACGCAAACGATCGTCATGCTGAGCATACAGATGCGCCATCTACCGCTAATGATATCGGAAAGAATATATATGATAAACCTGAGAAGAAAGCTGTTGACTTCGAATGTGCTTCAATCGATGCACACAGCTTCGCTGAAATTGACCTTACAGATCCAGTTGACGATGATAACAATATGCGGAATACTAACTCCGGGAAACAAAAAGAAATTCGTTTCATGGATGAGGCTTCGCTTTCCATATACGTTCCTACTCAGGAGGTTGACAAAATCCATTTACGAGAGATTCGTCCTGATTTGAAGCAACCATTTGATAGGTCAAGAGCTGAAGGACAACACAACTCACGGGTACAGACAGATGACGCAGATGCAAATATAGATAACAACAAAACGGACTGCCAGGTCACCGGAGACTTGGACGAGGTGGAAGAGTATGAGGAAACAGAAGGCGACAAGAGGAGAAAATTGGAAGTGGAAGCGTTCGAAGAGGCAAAGAAGCTTGTTGTTAATTGTGATACGCAGTCGGGTATTTCTGTTTAGCGGTAGCTGAATATTTTATCAGTTGTAATATACTGTTCGATAATTGAGCAGAGAATTAGATGTCAATCCATTATACTGTGATTTATTCCATCAAATCATCTAGTGCCATCTATGTTCTGTGTATCGCGAAGAAACTTGTCATAAAGTTGTGATGAACGATTGCTGTAGATAGCCGATTCTTCTTTCAACGTCCACATGCGATTCGAAGAAACTGTCTGACATATTATCATATAAATGACATTTTAAAGTTGTTTTTGAATAAACCTTTCTTAATCACAGAAAGAAATAGTATCCAACATAACTGTAGAATTTACTGCATTGTATAATGAGTTGTGGTGGCGTAAATACGGAACAAATTGATGGTTTTTGAAGGTGCGAATGGCAAGAGTACATAATAGAAAAAAAAATTCTGTTGCGAAACTACCAAATTTTACAATAATCATCCCAATCTTACCAAACAAATCTTATGATAATTTGGAAGTATGATAATTTGTCATGAAAATTTGCAAAATGGCTTCCAACACATTTTACAAATAAATGTTGTAATTTTCAACCAAATTCAATGAACAAATTCAACAGATATGAAAATTTTCTTAAAAGTGCACACTAACAATTAAATTTCATTCTGAAATTTGCAAGCCACTAGGAAAAGTTTTCATGCATGCAGTACTCATACAAATATGCGAATTCACTGCGAAAACTCAACTATATAAATGCGCGCTTGTGATCTGAAATCATTTCTTATTTTAGTATTTATATTAGGTAGTTCATCAATGCTACCTAAATTGGTGCCAAGGGAAAAGACTGCACGAGGTAAAGTCATTCAAACACGCTTATGTGGGATAAGAAGGATTGTGGGGAAGAGGAGTTGGAATGTGAGCGATTGTTCGCGAGGCATGTGGACAAACATAAAATGCTCATGAGGTGTGCATTCTTTCAGAAAGACGCTCTGAGAGATGCAAAAGACAAGTGAAGAAGGACTCAGATACGTGAGTTCAGATCTTTCATCATCCCACATCTTCATATTCATTGAATTCCACTAGTGACAAGGGGAAGCAATACAAACAGAAGCTAGTGTCCATAATTCAGCGAGTGAAGAAAGGTTGAGGATATTTTGAGTGTTTAGGATCGATGATGCACGGAAGACCGAGACTGCCGAAGAAGCCGATACAAAAGTAACAACAGCAGGTACCATGCATGCTAAGCGCGATTTGGGGTCACCGGAAAGGATTCCCCTTGTGAGGAGGACATCATTCTGAAATTTACCGCCTTAAATGCCTTTGATGTATTTTAATAAAATACATCGCGTTTGAAAGGATGTATTTCAGAAAAACGCTCCGAAAGACGCACAAAAGAATTGAAGAAAGACTCAAATCCGTTAGTTCGGATATTTCATTCATCTGCATTTTCATATTTGACGAATTCCATTAGCGACAAATAGGAGCAGCAACCCCAATTAAAGATGGAAAATTTTGACCGGGAAGCATTGAGAAATTGGTAAAGGTTAAGAACATTTCTGAGTGTTTAGGGCCGATGATGCGTGGAAGACCAAGACTGCCGAGGAAACGGATACAAAAGTGACAACAGCAGGTACTATGCATGCGATTTGTGAACACTAGATAGGAATTCCCTCGCGAGGAGGATACCATTTCGAAATTTATCGCCTTGTATGCTTGTTGACATATTTGAATAAATTACGTCGTCTTTGAATGGATATATTTCAGAAAAACGCTCCGAAAGACGCACAAGACAACCAAAGAAAAGCTCAAATCCGTTAGTTCAGATGTTTCATCCATCCACATTTTCATATTTCGACGAATTCGGTTAGCGACGAATAAGTGCAGGAGTTCCCATTTACTCATTATTGAGATTAAAGATGGAAAAAGTTGACTGAGAAATATTGGGAAGTGGATAAGGTTGAGAACATTTTTGAGTGTTTAGGTCCGATGATGCGCGAAAGAACGAGACTACTGAGGAAGCCGATACAAAAGTGACAACAACAGGTACCGTGCATGCTGAAAGCGATTCGAGAACACCTTATAGGAACCCCCCCCCCCGTGTGGTGGATATCGTTTCGAAATTTACCGGGTCAAATACGTGTTAATATACTCGAATGAGATACATCATGTTGGAAAGGATACATTGAGGAAAAATAACCGACAATTCCGTTAAAAATGATTGCACAGTTACCTTATCATTTCGAAGATGTAAAAATTTTGACCGATGTTATTCCTGTCAATTTTCACAGCAGAAGCAATCCGTTTGAATTGTAGACAGTATGAGGTCAGTGATCATTCAACCTGGGTATGGGCGGAACTTCCCGAAATGGCTTTTGCAGAAAATGGATTTCGAGTTGGAATGTGAAGCCCGGAAATATGTTGGTTCAATCTTCAGTATGTGAAATTGATAGAACGACTTTCGTCAGGATAGGAAACTTGTGACTTTTCTCCGCAAAAAACTTGGTATTTTTTTCAGCCTACCATAAAACTCACTCGAACGATGCTAGTTTTGAGTTCAAAAGGTAGCGCTCTCGAAAAGTTTGATCTTGGTGACTGGGTTTACGCATTAAACGATGTGACGTTGCGCAATAAGCAACAATACTTCTCAATGCTCAAAAAATTCATCAGAAAGAATGAACCGTATAAGGTTTCTCTCCTAATTTTCTATGAACTTATTCGTATTTCAAGGAGTTTAATCCGTTCGGTGGTTCAAATAACACTTAAAACCGCGTAATATGCCGTCGAGATTGATTGTTCAATGATCTGGGTTGTATTGGTAAGTAGAGGAATGATGAGCAGTAGAACAAATATGAAACATGAATGCTTCATGTGGCGAACAGGATTGATTTGTGGAACTGTGAAGATTATTAAAGGATATCATTGAAAATTTCAGTTGAAGTTCACAATCTATCGAACTGTGAAAACGATAAAAATTGCAAACGTTAACTTATCACCATTCATACCGCAAGCAACCGAAATGCAAAGTGGCTATAGTTACTTACTCGGCTATATCACAATGTATCCAGGCTCATCGCTTGGCATCAATATCAAATCCTATAATTACAAGGTGAATACCATATTACTCATTCGTATTTTTTCAATGCTCCCAACTCTCCATTTTTTGCTATTATGCAACCTATGAAGGCCACTCCAACATTTCATCGACGTGAGTGCTTTCAGAAGTTGTGAATTCAAAAAGGCAACGAAAACGTTGAAAAGTAATGAACAATTGGATGTTCAGGTATACGTGACGTCCACAGATAACGGTTTTCAATCGTTAGGAATGAGAACACTTCTCGTCGGAGATGCAATACTGGCAGTAGACGGTCAACCACAAACAACAGTCGCCAACACATCAGCGCTAATTATACAAGCACTTACAAAAAATAAATATGTAACAATTAATTTATTCACTCAAAAGACTTTATTTGAGAACATGAAATTCCAAGACTGAGAACAGCGAACCTGTTGAAGAGAATAACTAAAATACAATGTTAATGCTATTGGTACACTACTCGGTTTCAAGCAAAACTTTCCTCCGCAAACGGAGGAAAGTTTTGCTTGAAAGTGTACCAATAGCATTAATGTTGTGAGCCTGAGCCAGGCTATGATCCGGCTTGTATCTATTATCCAATTATCTGTTATTAAAATACAATGGTCATGAAGTGAGCCATTAAAAGATGTACAACTAAGAGCAATGATATTGATTATTTTTCATTTACCACACATACGAATTCAAAGTCATTTCAATCATACAAGACGAGAGGGAGAAATGTCGGATTATGGTGTGAATGTGTGACAAATTTATTACAAAATCTTGTGTTGCAAATATTAATGGGAGGTTAAAATCTATCATTTATTTCGTAGAACTGTACCAACATCAGGTCTGCATCGTAATCGAAAGAGCTGATAGTCCAAGAGCCATTCAACAAGTCAAAGTGGCATTAGCGGCTGAAAAAACGCGCGATATAGATCCGCGAATGCCAGACGATGTGATCGATCTCTGTAAAACTGAACTGAATCGAATGAGTCTACAGAAAACTTTTCATCCCATATCAATATATAGATCAGGAAATTTATTACAAAGATGCTTCACTCGGTTTGTTCTATATTATATACTAGCTTTAGTTCTTCATGCATGGCGGAAAGGTTCATGAACATTCGAAAGTGATGTGAACAACATGCTTGACTAAAATAAGGAAGACTTCAATTGTTAGCAGAACTGAGAAGGTCAAAGAAACTTGTCGTTACGCGTTAAGGATTTAAATTTACTCGTTCATCTCGATGATAAAAGAGCTTCAGGAGAGGTCGCGAAGGCGTTCGAATGGCAGCAGGTTCAGTAGAAACCGGAATAGGAATGGATCCTATAAACCCGATTCTTCTACAACATGTTCCACCTCCACCTGGACCACGACCTAACGTACCGATCATACATCCTGAGTCAGCTAATTCATTAACGAAAAACCTGAAAGCTTCAGCTGCGGCGAAGAGACGGAAAAGTTCTCCGATGAAAAAGGCGGCAGCAGGATCACATTTCAGTAGAACAGTAGTTCATCGTTAACACCTGACTTGAATACCAGTCCAACGCTTTCATCGAATAAACATGTCCAGTTTTTTGAATAAATATTATGATTTGATGTGAATTCGTCACAATCAATAAACTTCGTTGAGGTAATGATATCTACTGAGTAGCAACATCGGTAATACTGATACTACTAGTCGGATGAGTAGTATTTCCATGCTGGTATCAGTAGCAACTGAAATAGCGATAGCAACAATGTCTCTTGCCATGCTTACATTTCCAAAGTCATCATCTTATATCTCGGAACAATCATTTTGATCGTTCAGGAAGTAATCCAAAAGCGATCGAAATCAGTCCACTAGTGAATCAAAATTCACTAAAATAGGGTACCATAGTTCCGCGCCGTAATCACTTAGTAAACGCTGCACAGAATGGTAACCATACTTTAAAAGTCAGATATCCATGAAATATAAGCACCGAAGTAAGCTAACTTCTTCCAGCAGTCACATATATCAAAAAGTGTTACGTTATTATGCTGGTTTATGTGAATGTTCCTTTTCGAAAAACATTGAATAGAAGAAGGTAAAAGTTGAATTTCCAGTTGAATTTCTACTTGTACACATAAGAATGTAAAAGCCAAACAATAAGCATGGATCCATTTATTAGGTTCAAGTATTTGTGGTGTGATGTTGAACGTACTGGACACATTTTATATCGCTGTAAAAATTAGATGAAGATAGATCCATGATGATTTTGAACATCTCCATTGAACAATGTACATTTAAACTCTTAGTTCCATATTTGAAATTGATCTGTTCTTTTGAATAAATGAGACACGAATATGATTCAGACAAAACATTTGATATTCAGTGATTCTGAACTCGAGTTCTAGATGTTACTTTTCGGTGACATTTCTTGAAGCCCTGAAAAGATGATCTGATGAAACGAGTTGGCAAATTCATCAAACAATTTAAACAAGATTGTTTATGTGATGTTGTAAGAAATGAATATTATCTTTAAAACGTAGAAATAAAATTTCATTGAACTGAGCGGGAATGAGAACCTCCACGGTGCTAGGAACTGGGACCACATTGGCTGCAGTAACGAGCGTTCTCTTGCGATCACTGAACAATTCCTTCAAAATAATCCACTTATTCATGGAAAATTCGTATCGTAATGCGTTTTTAAGAGATGCCACAAGTGAGTGGCGCATTTTTTCGTGACATATACACAATTCAAAATTTTGTAAGTTCATGTTCCCGAAGTGAATGAAATTCTAGTTCAAGGTCTATCGAAATGCTCTTCATTAGTTGCGTCTCAAGAAGTAGGCTATTTGTAATAGTGAGGTAACCAATGGCAAAAGTGAAAGATGACTGAAGAAATATCATCATGTTCTGAGAAAGCTTGAGCTAATGCAAGAACCTTCTTTCCTGCTTCATCGATATCCTCGATTGTTGGTTTTGTTTTATCGGTGTCCTCACTACTTATAGTGGTAGCTCTATAATATTGAAATTATTGGATTGAAATTTTGATAGTTTTGGACAGTTCTGATGAGCTCATGTTTGTTGTAAAATTTCCATGAAATTAATTTTCCGAAGAACCAAAGAATTCGGTCAGTGATCAAATCGGAAACTGATAATCTTTCTTGAATTATCAGATAAGCAATGAGGAAAAGGCTGAAATAAATAGTTCTACAAATAATACGTAACTAAAAAAGATTCTACCACGTTTCCACTGCCGGATGAACATCCAGAGGGGTTTGGAAACTCGTCACACTGAGGTATGACTGAATATGTAGGTTTGGAAAATCTAACAGGAGGGGACCCAGAAATGATGAACGTACATGGCATTAGTGTTGTTCTTCCTGCCTTTCTTGTCTCTCTTTCTTCTTCCAGCATCACTACGTTTACGCTTTTTCCGTGGTTTCCTTTTGACGGCAACTTCCTCAAATGAAAACACTATCAACTGACTATACTGTCATCGTTCACGAGTTAGCGATTGTTAAGATCTCCTATGCTCCGATCCTGTCAAGCAGTTGCAGACTTTAACCGGCTCAACGTAATGGCTGACCTCGATCGTGGCCTCTCTTTCAGGATCTTCTTGTTTTCGTTCTTCGTCAGCAACAATGCTTACATCTCCGAGTGCTTCATCTTCTGAATCTTCTTGCTCTTGTAAAACCTCCAGTTCCTGCATTGACAAAGCCGTCACTCGTGGAATACGCGCTATTGTTGACTGCAATTTGACAGTGGTTCCTAGAGTCATTCATCATATCTTTTACAACAACTTCGCAAAATGAATGATTTATAAGTGCATGTGTAAAGGAAGTTTCCAACGCTCTCAAATATTGTCACAGGTCGACAGCTCAACAGCAACATTCTCCGTACCTTGAAAAATGAGAACATCTACTTTTCAGGGAAGATGATCATCATTTGAGACAATTTCTAATTTCGCTTACATTTTCGGGTCTCGGAGCAGGATACTTCAGATGAACAGCAGTCATCTTCCTCACAATATACTTGAAATCGCATCGTTCTGCAACACTCATTTTCCAGCACTCTCTGACAAGTTCCTTCACAGATTGCGGAGTACGATCTAAAGTAAGGCATTCCCATTCACGAAGAGAAATTTATAACCACCAACCGATAACCTATGAATCACCAGCATAAATTAGAGCAGGAGAAATTGCAACAATTCTTAAGATGCATTTTCGTTGCGGCTGGTGATTGTACCTCAGTGATTACCTGGTAATTCTATCATGCGCCCCCTCCGTATATGCGTGGCAATACGTTTCGGTTCCCATTCCGGCCATGGTTTTCCGCCGTTGTTGTAGATCTCAAACAACAGCATCCCATATGCCCAAACATCACTCTTGATTGAATACTCCGGATCTCGCTTCAATGTTTCCGGAGCCATCCACCGCAACGGTATCTTTAAGATACATACACAGAGTGCTTGTTACTGAGACACCCGAAACGTTGAATGAATGAACGTTAATCTTGATATCATGCAAAGAAAGTGGATTGCCAACTGAAGTCGCCAAGCAGTATTGAAAATGAAAATCAACATGAAACTGATCAAACGACTTCGAGCATTAGGCGTACAGAGATGGTAAATAAGATGGAATTGTGTTGTAAAATACATCGTGGAACCTGTTGATTCTCGAGTTTTTCCCCAGCCAATTCTGTGACAACTTTACTGAGTCCAAAGTCAGAAATTTTAATAACACCAAACCTGCTAATGAGACAATTACGTGCTGCTAAATCACAATGGATACAGTTCCTGAAACTACAAAAAAGATAAAACATTTATTATTCGGATTAAACAGCACTCCTGGTACATAAACCGACATAAAAAGCAAATGTGTGAAAACATTGTCGCGAAAAGGTAAACAACACCAACGAGACACACTTATCCTGGAGGTAACACATTCCTCTGGCCCCTTCCAAACAATAACGAACTCTCTCACCGATTGTGATATCATCACCAAATTTTTCCAGATGATTCAACAAAGAACCACCATAGCATCGCTCCATAACGACACATACCGGAGGACGATCGCAACAGATACCATAGAACTGAAATCAATTGCACCACAAAGATCATAATCTGAAAAAGCAGCCAGAGCCATCCAGAACCCTCGCATTTACTCAAGCAAACTGTGAAAGGACACATGAGAAGATAATTTCCTTCACCGAAACAAAAGCAAAACCAATGTGATACGCCCCTTCCAAACAGATGGGACACATTTTGCATCTCTCCATCACCATCTCACTTACTAAACGATATGCAGGACCACGAAAGCCTCATTGGCTCAGGGGCAGAGCGTCTGTCTTGTAAACAGAAGGCCGCTGGT